TGAACAGAGGAGTTTGGCGCAAAGCGTCAACTGCATTGACAGAGAAGTAATCACTGGATAGGAGAGTGTTGATCGCTATCGGTGTCAAATTAGGGCAGATGTAACTCAGATGGTGGCCTCGCGTAATGAGGGACAGGAGACCGAGGTCGACAAGTGCTTTTACGCTACCGATGTTGCCTCTTTCGGCTGCGAGGTGAAGCGCGCGCTTGCCGCGGGTATTTGGGTCGCGAAGGGTATATTTGAGAAGGGTTGGTGTTAAAAGATTTGCCAGGCGACGATTGCATTTGAGTAGGGAGTAGTAATCAAAAAGTTCGAGATCCTCAATAACCTGAAGTATTATCTCATTCGGGAGGTAGAGTAGAGCCATTTTGAACTCGGCTTAATTAGGTATTGTGAGCCAGACGAAGATCAGTTATAGCCGAGTCAGGAACCAGCGATTAACTCAGATTCAGTGCTACTCGGTCGCGATGATTGATGAGATATGACGGCAGGGTGTTGGGCAAAAGAATTGTTAATCGCCTCACACATCATGATTAAAGCTTTGATGGGGGGTCACAACAAAACCCTAACCCAGCACATGCATGTCCAGGCTGAGCGCACGGTTCGTCCACGGAAGCCTCCATTTCCATCTATGACAAAAACCGAAAGCCACAGTGTTCTAAAAGGTTCTTGCCAACTGGTTTTGCGTTGTTGGCCCCCGGTATTCTGAACTGGCCACATCCACAGCCTTATGCAGGTATGTTGCGAACTGCGGCCATTGGTCTCATTATTGAGGTTAAGCACCAGCGTGCGTTCTTAACTGAGACAGTTCTTAAGCTGAGCAACCATTTTGAAATGACCAGCAGAGTAGCCGTCACACAGACATAAAATTTTACAATATTATTGTTGCAATTTCGGCACTCTGAATCTCTGTCACTATGGCAGCGATCAAACTAAACTGCTTTGAAGCAACTTAAGAACGCACGGAACCAACTCGTTGCATGTTAAGCACAGAATCTCTCCATGCAGCGCTTAAGTTGTGTTGGGGCCATTTTAATTTCTAGAAAAGGTGTGTTTTTTTGTCATTTTGGGCCTAAGTTGCTTAAACCAAGGAATTTATGACTAATGGTAATCCCCCCTAACCAAATGTTTCATTTAAGAACGCACGCTGGTGCTTGACCTCGACATTGTTTCGTCGTCAATGAATTCATCCGAGAGATTCACGTAAAGTAAAGTTCAACCACTATCCAGGCGCAAAGTACTCGAAATTTGAGAGTGGGAACGACCGCCACACGTTTCGGGTATGCCACTTAATTCGCGCCACAGTAAACAACCCATTTTCCGGCAAAAGCGATTATGTAGTTGCACCTAGATCATGTCTCAATTCCTCGCAAACGGCCAGAAAGTGGAGACAAAATCAATCTTTCGCATCAACCGGAGACAGAGCAATACCGGCGACACAGTGGGATCAAGCATAGCAAGCTAGAGGCAAAATCCCCGGGACAAACAAAAACACGAATAATCGAAAAAAAACTGGCTCCAGAGAGCCGTTTCAGAGATTAAGCTGAAAAGAACAGATACTACACTTGATCTAAGCCTGTTGGATTATTAGCATGCGTCGGATTGGGTAAAATGGGAATTTGTAGTGGACTTACCAAAAGGCAAAGAGAGCTGAGGAAAAAAGAGAAGAAGGAGTGGGGAGTGGTGGCTTTATATAGGGGGACCGAGTGATGCCAAGACATTTGACTTTAGCCGATCATGCCCCTTTAGTGACCTTCATGGCCGCTCGGCCCAATCCCTACCCTGCGATTATTAGACACGGAACCTTATGTGGTATTTAGAGCATCTATAAAAGATCTATTGTGATGAATGATATATCTTGGTTTTTATTTCAATCGGGCTAGCCAGGGTCGAAATCTTTGTTTTTGAAAGATTAACTTATGCGGAGCGATACTTAGTGCTTCTGATCATCACTTGATATTCCGGTCACAGCAAATGGGTTTTACCTACATTCTGCAGAGATCAAACGCTTCTTCTGAGGTGACCCAGTATTTTTGCTGGTCCCGGATTTGCTCCGGAAGGCTGTTTAGGGAGGTTCACTATCATACACACTTCCTCACCTGATCAGCATTTACGAGTGATCAGTGATGATGGGCTCGGCCGTGCCTGCCCAGAGCACTACCAACAGACATGCAGTATGTCCGAAAAGAGCAGGCATCTTGTTTAAATTGAGCGTGTTTTTTATTCTTTTTCGGCATCTTTGTGATGATAACTGGTGGTTGGATATGGAAATGATGGGTTTGGTGGTTACGACGTTGGCATCCTTGTCTCTGTTGCGGTGACGAGTGGCAACAGCGGTAAAGTTCCCACTGACTCATTTAGGCCTTCCAACACCTTGCGGGGGGACAAACCAAACCTCACTCAGAAGGAGAAAAAAAAGAAAATTATACGGTAAAAAGAAAATACGAAAATCAATCTAGCCCTCCCTAATACTGGACAACGCTCGCCAAATACGGGCTCCCTACTGTTTTGGTATTGTGTTTACTTTTTATTTTTATTTTTTTCAACTCGAATCGTAGCAATGTTCTTCCTCGTCGAATCTTCGAGAACAGCCCAAAAGCTATCACGTTACCCCCTAGAAAACAAAAAACTACAGAGGACAAGGACTATAATACTCTCTCATAAGAGCCGCTCTAGAATAAATTACACACCCAAACCTACATGATACCTATTTCGAATCATCCTGGATTCCCGAAGAAAAATCATTACCCAACCATGACGGAGCACGTTATCGAGTGATATTACATGACCAGCGAAGAGCTCTCTAGCGTCATTATCCCAACCCACTGATGCAGCGACACCTTGGCTCAAAACTGCTTCAGAAGTCTGCAGGGATGTTTTTTCGGTCAGGGCTGGAGGATATCTGATTGTTGTACCTTCGGTGGTGGCACAGGAGATTCTGGTGGTGGTTAGGGGGTCGAAGTTTGACACACCCGACCTCGTTTATTGTGCCGCCAGAGGTGGCCTATCAGCACTGCATTCGGTGCCCCGCCTTCTAACTTGCACAAACCGAGAATATCTGGAGGCAAGGTAATGGTAACCCCTTCTCCTTTCGCAGCCAATATTTGTGAAAATAATACTGCGTTAGTAAAGGGCTGGCCTTTACCTACTTTACGGAAAAAATTGAGATAGTGGTTGAGCAATGCAGAAACACGTATCATACTTGAAGTAATAGGGTGGTTTGGCTGCTCATCAATCGAAGCGGATTGCCAAGGCAACCAAGTAAACCAGAGGCCGGAGTCGGCAGTGCCTTGTACACATCTCCGGAACATTCTTAAAAGATTCGAGGTGACTGTGAACTTCCACCCAGCAGGGGACAGCGGGTTCCCGTATAACTCCATCACAAATTAGATGAGTCATAGTGGTAGCCGTATAGTGCTTGTATAATATCTCTTCTGGCTCTTTTCACTGATTTATCCTAACCACAACCCCGATATATTTATAGATATGCCAACTACTGGAGTTTCCAGGAGGAATTCGGATACAAATAGCAACCGTGGAAATATCGAATACAGAGAGTAATTGTCCACACAGTGACCGCCGGGTGAAAGCACCTAGATGCAGCGAACGAAGATAATAACCACCATAAACTCTCTCAAGGTGATATCTCCCTCGCGGCTATATGGCAATCATGCTTGATATGGATGGAAGCTATCATGGCTCCCCCTGCGCAGCAAAGTTATCAATGTCACAAACTTTGTCAAAAACCAAAACAGCAACTGACTTTCCACTCCCCCCTCAAGCTCCAGCTACCAGTTCCGCATACTCTGAGTTAGGCTGTGCTCCCACCTTCCGTTTTTGTTTCCGGCCCACGTCTCAGCTTTTCCATCTTCCTCCTCCTCATTGCCGCTTTCCTTTTTCTTCTCCCTTCAACCCCCACCCAAGGTTTTATCTGATCTTCTTTGATTTTTCTTTTTTCCAGACTCTCCGTGGCACTAAGTATCCCCATGACATCGCCCTGCACGCTTGTACCCGGAGTCAAGTGCGAACCACTCCCGCCACCCCCTTCTCCCCCCACGCCATCCCTCTCGTCCTCAATCTGATATTCCCACTCTGCATCCTCAACCACGTATTCCCTCCGCCTTCTTCTCGCCTCTAGCGCCTCCTCCCTCATAATCTCCTGACGTGACAGCGGCTCCCCTCTTCACGCTCTATTCCGCTGTCGAATTGACGGGAGAGTGCCAGCCCTTCACTATGCCAGTCTGTATCATCCACCCCTATCAGCCAATCTTGATCTTCATCCATTACAGCATCACCTGACCCCCCGGCCTCAAAGAGGCTTGCAAATTGGCCTTTGGCCCGGAGAGCCTGTTCGGTCCGGGTTAGCTAGTCCACCAGGATCCATATTCTTGGTTCGGGAGGAGGGGGTGGGCTGCTGGGTGGTGGGCATGGTCGGGAGTTGCCCGGGAGCGTCCCCAGATCACAGGACTGGAGGGGGGGGACAGCAGGGTGATATTGGCCGGGGCGGAGGAGGAGAGACGATGGTGAGGATGAGAAGGCTGTCTTTCAGGCTTTTTGGACGTAGCCGGGGATCTGGGATGGACACGGGTAATTGTCTAACTTGCCTCTTACGCGTGCAGTCTTACGACGCAGCGTTTGCGCGGCTATCTCACATTGTAGCGAGCCAGAAGCACAGAATTTACTGTTGGGCATTCATTTCAGCGGCCGTGCCCGGGCAGCGATGCCCACAGTGAAGAAATAATGCAAACTTTAGTGTTCATCGTGGCAACTCTCATCCCTGAATCATGTACTTTATTTAGATTTCTAACATACATTAACTACGAGTACACATCAGATGTACTAAACTGAAAAATATATTCGCCAGAATCAGCACCCTATGCCCCCCACCCACCCACGTTCCAGCCCCTCCCACCCACGTTCCAGCTCCTCCCAACCCCTCTCCGACCGTCCTCCGTGCTATGCTAGTCAAATATTATTTTTATGCTACTAGATTGCATCATCCCTTTGTGGTGTAGTTGGTATCACACCCGGCTGTAATGTTCAGATCACCGGTTGGTCACCAGTTCGACTCTGGTCGAAGGGACTTTATTTTTTTCCCGTTTTTTTCCCCACTTCGCATAATGGTCATCTTTTTTGTTTGCGCTGCGCTAAAATAGTTAGAGTCTTGGCGGCGGGGATTTCTAGACCGGGAATAGACTCTACTAGTACTTGGGGGGTAGGGGCAAGTCTGGCGAATGTGGCTCACCGAATTTCTATGTGTTTGGCAGCCAAGACTTCGCCAGACTTTCCCTTACCCCCCAAGTACAACCAGTCGTCCCGTCCGTCCACGGGGTGAGAACGACAAAAGACGAGACTGTCTCGTCCTTGGACGGACTGGACGGGGTGGGCGGCAGTCGACTGCAGTCGGCTACGAATGTCTTAGATTTGCCAATGTACAAGTTACTGGCATGAAGAAGCAGAACATTTGAGTTCGAATTTAGTATGGGCGCTCAGATACACACAGACAATTTGCCATACAAATTTTTAATCCCTGTGTTCAGGTTCATGCCAATAACTTGTACATGATCAGACACATACTAGAATTCAAATAGGTCTAGATCAAAAAATTAAGAAAAAAATAAAATTAAGTATTATGAGTGTAAACATGATAGTAAAAAAAAATAAAAAAAATACATAGCAAACACGATACAATAATCAACCAGGGAAAGGGTTGCGAAGAAAGGATGAAGAAGGTTGCCGAAGACTGGATGCGAAAGGTGTTGTTTTCGCTTCGTTGTCGATGGTAGGTAAAGTGTGTGGGAGAGGAACTACTGGTACTCGAGTAAGGGTTGGTTTGTCGTCCGACGACGCTAGTCCTCGTCTTTGCCGTCCAGACGGCCTTGGCGTCGTCCCGTCCAGGACGAGGACTAGCGCCTTCCGAGGGGACTACTGGGAGTACTGGATACCGTACTGTACTCGTAAGTTACCGTATTAATTCGCGAATAAGACCATGGTCTTAATTAAGCTCGAGTTCTGATAAACGTGGCTTATGCCAAGATAGGCTACGGCAGGTATTGTGGAGGAATTGTTTGAGACATAGCGATACTGTATCTATTATACCTTTTTTCATTACCAAAACTGACCTATACAGACAGGATCTCTGACACTGAACACCGGTAGGCTCGGTGGGTAACAACCCCTGTAGTATTACTATTGGTTAATACCGGTACTCCCTAACCTGGTCTTAAGGCGGAGAGGGCCTTATTAGCGAATTAATACAGTACGGTGCAAAGCGTCTAAAGGTGGGCCCTCCGGTGGAACAGCGATCCCGTGGCAACCGATCGGAATTGAGCCAAGAATTGCCAAGACATGATGAGTAAGGTGAAATGATACACATTGATGGTGACTCAGAATTGAATTTGGAATTGTTGATAATGGTGGTTGTATATTAGGCTCATAACTTCACAATTATTTGGTATTACCATATCTTAGTCATCTACGCTTCACAGTATTTTTCAGCATGGTACTAGGTAGATTCTGTCACTTGTTTCACTCTCACCAAAATTTTCACTTTTTAATCTTCAACTACATTTTTCTACAGCCTTTAATCAAAAAAAAAAAGCGCTAGCCTCTTCTCCTTTCTAATAGCTTCATCTCAGCGCTTTTTTTTTATTAAAATTTTGTGTTGTGGTTGACTAGTAGAGAATCGCGTTTGGCCTGTTCAGAGGGTCCGGTTTGAGTCAATTTGCACTATACTCGGATCTGCGGCGGGTGGGTTAGGGTTCCGGAAATGAGCACTGCTCAAAAGGTTGCCGGATGGTACCTACCTACCGTAGGGTCTGCTTTACCAGCTTTGCTGAGCAACCGCTTGGAACAAATCCCCAATTTTGGGAGCCATGTACCGATCTGCACTCATCTTATCTACTTGCCCATTCCAAAAGTATCCGGAAATGTGGAATGATGGCTTGGCGCCAAGATGCCAAGATAAACACGTATTTAACCAATTATCCAAAGCATTGTCACGACTCCTATTAGCAAAACAATGATACATGCTGTGATAAAGCAAGGTAAGTCACAGGCAATACATATATTAATCTTGCTTAGGCACTAATTATTGAGAATTTAGGAAAAGAGATCACCCCTCGGCAGAGGGCAGCAATTGTGACACTCTGGAGCCTGCCTAAACCATTAACTTTCCAAAAAATCAAAGAACTTACCGGCATTCCAATCTCAACAGCAAATGATATATGGTTACACGCCATAGATAATGCTTGGAGGAACCGACTTGCCGATGGTGGAGATTTGGAAGAGCCACTGTCCTTGCTGGAGTTAGTGGATTCTAAATGCTTGGATCCAGATACTCGTTCTGGGCGGCTGGAAGCCTTAACAGAAGATGAGAAGGATTGCCTCATCACTACCATCAAGAGAGATTTCAAAACACAGAGGATGAAACTCATTGATCTCCACAGGGAGACTGGCTTGTCACATGTAGGCGATGGTACAGTTCATAGAACCTTGGTCTCATGAGGCTTGCATGCGTACTGTGAAGAGTTCAAGCCTATTTTAAGTCCTGAACATAAGTTAAACCGTCTGGTAAGCACTCCTCTTCTGTACTCTTGCAGCTCCCAGTGGGTGGAAGCCAGACATCTAAAGTGACAATTCCTATACAAATCACCCAGTTTTAACTCCACTGTATAGGGATTCGTTTTCTTTCTCAAAAAAAAAGACAACACTAATATGAAATAAAATAGAACTACTGTTGTGCTAGAGGGACCTGGCATCCAGCGGTCGAATAGGCAGACTACATGTTTACTGATGAGATGTCAATTGAGGTCGGCGCTGTTTTTGGGCTATCTCTTGTCTGGAGGGAAAAAGGAGAAAAGTGGCATGATGACTGCATTGGCACTAAAAAAAAAAATGGTACTTCAGTGATGTGCTGGGGAGCTATTGGGTGTGGGTGGAAAGGTCCTTTTTTTATATGGCCAGCAGTGACAAAGGAGGAGAAGAAGAAGGCAAAAGAAGAGATTGCCGCCATAAATAAAAAAATTGCAGAAGGATACAGATCATCTGAATGCAGAGTGAAAACAGTATGAAGAGTGGAAAAGGTTGCGGAGCAGGAATTGCGTGTTGCTACAGAAAGGCCTGCAGCAGCCAAAGCCACTGGGGGGACTGTTAAAACAACACAATTGTTTCGGGGCAAGAAGTTTACCTTCAGGCCAATGAAGATTGGGGAAGGAAAGGGGGTCGACTCGTGGAGGTATGTTACACATCTCTGCCAGCCTATTCTATAGCCCGCATGCAAGGAGAGGATGATACCATATCCCAATTTCCGGTTGATGGAAGACAATGCATCATCGCACGATTCTGACTTCACTAATCGCGAACGAGAAAGAGAAAGAATTCCTAAAGTTGATTGGCCGGCGAACTCACCAGGCTTCAATTCCATTGAGCACATATGGCACTTGATGAAGTCTAGGATTCTTTGCAGGCGTGGAGAAGAGAAAATTACAACTCCTACGGAAATAAAAACTGTTCTAGAGTAGGAATGAGCTAAGATTACAGTTGATGAGATTAACAATGAGATCTCAAAACTACCACTAATTATGGCATGATGTATGTTACAAGATGGTGGAAACAAGTTTGAAGTGTAACCTGTAACCTCTCATTGTATTTGTTTTTTCTTCCTCTCTCCCTTCTTGTTCTTTTAGTCTATTCATTATATATAGCTTCATAGATTATCACTCAGTGCCCTCTTCCCCCCCATGCAAGCCAAGCCAGGTGCCAAGCCTGCCAAGCCTAGGTTCCACATTGCTGGATACTTTTGGAATGGGCAAGTACAAACACCAAAAGATGCCAAGATCAGTGAGGAATCGGATAAGAATTTGGGACTTCGCAAGTCTTTTTTTATTTTTTAGTGGGCCATTTTTCCACCAAGCAATTAACCCTATGAAGTTGATGAGCTACTTGTGATGAAGAGGAGAGAATTAGGCAAAAATTAAAATGAATGTATGGTATCGGAAGCCTCAGAGGGTGAGTGTGGAAACCTCCGCACCCCCTTCTCAAAAAATAAAAACTTTGCCTTACCTTTCCTGATAGTGAATAGATTGCCATCAAGTACTTACCCAGAAGAGTATTGAGTGTTCTTTAGTGACCATGTTCACAACTGCTGATTGACTTTCCAAGTAAACAATTATCATTTTACTGCTGCAACTTTGCCGAATTTTTTTTGAAACTTGCTTTAAATGGTCACCATCGTTGTTGCAAGTACGGTCGATAGATATATCCGTCACGTGCTTTAAAGCAGCAAGTTGTAATGAGAACCCTCACCAAACCTGAGGCAAAATGGCTGGTTGCTACACGCCGCTTTTGCTTATCAAATCCACGTGACGGATATATCTATCGGCTGCACTTGTAGTTGACCTTGCCATGAAAGATCACTCCATACTCTTCTAGGTAAGTACTTGATGACAATCTATTCACTATCTGGAAAGGTACAAGAGGGCAAAAAATTTATTTTTTGAGAAGGGGGTGAGGAGGTTTACGCACTCACCCTCTAAGGCTTCTGGCATCATTATCATGACCTGAGGATAGTTCGGTAATAACTAGACCATGTGGCCGCTCAGCGAGGCAGTACCCTCAACGAGGCTTGGCTAAGCTTGGCAGGGAGTAGTAGTTAGAAAATCAAATTTCATCATTGTAGTAAAAGTAATATAATATTGACCAACTCCAAGGATGCCATTGAAAGATATCAAAATCCCAAAATGAGTTTGGGAACAAATGGCCATTGAAATGCCAGCAGTTGGTACTGCCCCCAGCCTCTCGGTAGCAGCAGAAATGGTAGGAGAAGCACCATCTACAGTGATGCATCGACGGCAAGGCAGAAAGAGCAAGAATGAAGAGGCTTCTCAAAGACAAAAGATGACAGCTGAAGAGGAGGAATTAGTTGTTGAGCGTTGTCACTTTCACTGTCAACTAGGTTTTCCTCTCACAATTTGGATATTTCGAGAGATTGCCACTGCTATTGTATGGAAAAGAAACCCTCATGAGGCTTTGGGTCAACGTTGGGAGAAAGGTTTCTGGCAGTGACACTCGGAAGTGAAGTCT